TCTAAGATCAAACGACACCTCATCCTAAATATTTTTTTAATAAAAGTTCAAGTGAGGTACACTATCTCATTTTAAAATTTAAATTCGAAAAGAATCACGTAAAACACTTGATATATATTTTTTTGTTTAATCCTTAACGTGCACTCTCTTCTTCTTCTTCTTCTTCTTCTTCATGCCAATCCATATCCATTCCAAGAAAATGATTCTTGCCCACTAAACTTCCCCTCTTTTTCTCGATAAATTCCATCCCAAAACTGCTTCTAAGTTAAGGTGTATGCCCAAGAAATTCACTGTTTCTGCTTCCCTTAACACCATAGCTGCTGCTGCCTCTGGCTTTGGTGCCACTGTCCATGGGACAGTCACTTCTGCTATTACCCAAGTGGCTGTTATTGCCTTTGCTATTACCTCTGGAGCTTGTCTCTCCGCTAAGGTTGACTTTTTATGGTCCAAAGTGGAGGAGCAACAAGGTGCCTTTCTGTTAACTTTTTTTTTTTTGGATCCTTTTCTTTTGTCGGTTTTTGCCTCATTTCGTGGTTTTATAATTTAGGTAGGAAAAATAATGTTTTGTTACATTCAATTTTAGGCAACCAACTAGGAGTTATTTTTGCCATTCTAGGTTAGGGGAATACTAGATGTGTGCTTTGTTCAAGACTGGCAATCAAGATCCTCCTCAGAATCTCATACTATGTTATCTTTTTCGTTTTAAATGTAATTCGTGTTTTCAAGCCTGTTTGTTGGTGTATAGTTTTTTTGGATGTTCATTTTATTTTGCAGGCACTGCTTTTCAGTTTTCTAATTCTTACAATTAGGCATAGAACTACAAAAGCTTTTAGGCTAAAATACCAAAAAAAAGTAATTGTACTTTTCCAAGTTTCCTAAATGAGCCCTTTCCTTCTATTATTAATTTTGTTTAATTGTGCTTTATTTTGATGGAAACTATTAAAATCCATTATCTTTAGTACATTAGCATTTACATGGCACAAACATGACAAAATAAGAACTTTCTATATGTTGATGTGGCATGCCATGCCATGGAAGCCTGTGCAACATGCCAGGTAAGAACTAAACTTAGAGTGTCTTTCTTAGTGGAAGCTCTCTCTCTCACGCACATGTATTTACGTATTTTGAGCCTAAAAGACTCTGTTTTTGATCCCAAAATTATGGAATAATAGTTAAGCATAATGAAAAGGATATAGTTTTCATTAGAAACCTTGTGTTCCTCCCTGTTACATCAATTATTAATTCTTGATGTTAGCTCATTAGCAAGAGCACGACTATAATTTATGCTCTTTATAGTTTATAATGACAACCTGCTGCTTGCTTTGTCTAATCAATAATCCATTCACTGTTGACTTACTGAATCATTTTCTTTGTGTTTTCTGCTCTCAAATTTCAAGTTAACAACGTCAATCAATGTGTGCAGGTTCTTTTACAGCGGAAGGAATAGATGTGACTGGCTATCCTATATTTAACGAGGCAAAGGTTTGCCATCTCTAGTTGCCTCGTAACTTGGATGTAGTCCTCTTCTGCCACTAAAACACTGAATTTGTGAAGGCAGGTGCAAAAAGCTATTGCATTTGCAAAAAGAGCTCACAGTAGGCAGTTGAGGAAAACAGGAGAGCCGTATTTATCACATTGCATTCACACGGGAAGAATCTTAGCTATGTTGGTTCCATCAAGTGGCCTACGTTCATGAAACTGTATAGTTATTAAGTTTGTTGCATTGTGCTGTGTCTATATACTTTGTTCTTCTGATAATCTTTCAACAACTTATTAGTATTTTTTTTCTGTGGGTGCTCCTCAAGTATAAATTGCATGTAGGTTACACTTTTTTATTCCTTCAGCATATTATGCTGTTTGACTCCTATATTGACCTAGTGTTTTTCCATTTTTAATCTGTCTCATACTTCTAGACCAATACAATATGACTATTTCTATCTTTCATAGAAGTTAGTGAGCCATTCTGATAGTATGCAGGTACAAGGATAATTGCCATATAATATGGTAGGAAAACATCTTAGAGTAAAAGCAATAGACATTTTGACGTTTTAGAGTGTAACTGTAGCCATTTTAATGTCTTGATGGTAATGGTTAATGGTTTGTTCTTATGATAAAAATGTTTACATGGGTAGATAGTTAACTGAACTCAATTCTTGATGGTCTGGAAACTTGGTTCATTCTTTCACTTTCTTGTAATATTATGCTGAGTCAATTGCATCTTTCTTCTTATTACCAAAAAAGGTAGCCCTCAAAAGTGCCAAGGTTGCTCAAAAACTTGCTTCACTTTCAGTTAATTCCCTAACTAAAGTCCTAAAGTTTGGTGCAGGCTATTGACACAGTTGTGGCTGGGATACTACATGATGTGGTTGATGATATATGTGAAAGTTTTCTCAGCATAGAAGCAGAGTTTGGTGATGAGGTGGTCAGGTCAGTAGCTAGTGTTTCTAGATTACGTTATATAAATAAGGTAAAGTCTTCATTTTAATTGGTTCTGTCTGTAGAGTCCTCATCCTTAAATCTTGGTTTTTCATTAAAAAAATATTTGTAAGCAGAAAGTTTACCGGGATTTTATTTAACTGGTATTGTAGCCCTTTCTGGAGGATGGATTTTTTCTTTCTCCTTTTCCTGCATTAGTGATTAGTGATGTGCTTGGTCTAGGGAAAGCTAACTCCAATTGTGTAATCCACAGTTGGTTGTTTGGGCATGTTTTAAAATGTAATAGAAAAAAATAAAGTAGAAAGAACTGAACAACTAAAGAAAATAAGTTTCATGTTGATGGAAATAGCATTTAATTTCTTTTTTTAAATAAAATATTTTTTTATTGAGCCGGAAAAGGTCCAGCAACTCTGCAGCTATAAGTCATCTTGCATTGAAGAATGAAGTTTTGGAAAATTATTTCATTTCTGGAATTGGAGATGGTATTCACGAGAAATTCCTAGTATGTGTAATTCAACTCATTCACCATATTTAAAACTCCAGAAAACATAAACATCACTAAGGCATGTTTATCTTCCTATCGATTTTTTTATTTCAATTTCGAACTATGGAGAAATATCTAGAAACAACTTATGATTTAGGTTTTGAAAGTAATCATTATTTCTTTCTTTTCCCTTATTAAAAACAAGAAAAAGACAGAAAGGGTTTTCCTTCTGATATCTATTATGGTGTGTCTGGGAAAAATATTGTCTCATCAAGTGATGGCAATGATAGGGAAACCATAATGATGTTGCTGTCAGAAGTAGAAAGTTTGAATTATAAAGTCTTGCCCTTTCTTCTTATTGGTTTTCTTGCTACCTTAGTGTCATGTTTGCCATCTTTGGTGTTGTTACCCTTGTTAGCATGCTAGAATGCCTGTTTATTACAATATTTTTTTACATTTTCATGATCGTGCTCGAGTTTTGGATCCTCTGATAGTGATATTTAATCACTTCCACTATATTTATGTTGTCATGTGACTCATCTAATAGATTGTTTTGTAGCTTCTACAGAAACATCACAGGATAAATGTTGACCAGAGTACCCTTGGTTATGAAGAGGTGCATGGTTAGATAATTTGCATACAACAAAAAATGTAGTGTGGTTGATGTAATTTAGAAACTGATTTGTAAGCTAAACAATAGGTGAAACTTAATGATTTATATGGGTACACATTACATAGGCTAAGCTAAATATCAATTGTATGGTTCCTTACGATATAACTAAATAGCATATTCAATGTATGATTAATTCTTTTTAGTGCTACTGGTTGGGAGGTCAGTTGTAATGGTTTTGAGCGCATTCTCTGACATGCAGTGAATGTTTAAATCTGTATTGGTTTTACACTTAAAATGGATTGGTCAAGAAGTTAATTTTAATTATGTAAAGGAAAGGCGAAAAACCAGAACTTGTAGGAAAATGCAAGCTTGCTGGGATGGAAGTGATTAGTAGTTACCAAGTCACTGTGATTCAGTATAAGGGTCTGTTGGTAGCAGTTTGTGTTGATTCTTTCCTAAGGGCATTGTCCAAGTTCTATAGTTCAGAAGCCACTTTCTTGTTCTTGGGGTTCATCTTCAAGATTTATCTCAATGCATATGTGTGGTGAGTAATGACATGTTTCTCCAAAGAACTGGCATGGGTGGGACCACTGTAAGATAGGGGATAGATTAAATAACATTAATTAGGTTTAGTTGTAAGTAGTTGTGAACACTTGATGAGAAGCTGTTGTGTTCTTAATTTCACATTCTTTCTTTTACTTTTAAGGCAAATAATCTGTGAGTCATGCTCTTGGGAATGGTTGATGATCCCCGTGTGGTGCTTATCAAGCTGGCAGACTATCTTCACAATATGAGAACCATGTAATGCCTCTCAAAATTTATTTATTAGATTATTATATATGCAGAAAACAGATTTCTGTTTGTTTTTCTATTTCATAATTCATTGGATAGACAACCAAGGCTTGGCCTAGCTGTTATGATCCCTCCATAAGAGGATCAAGGTCCAAGGTTTGGATTCACTATCCCCCTTGGACTTCCTTGTATATATCACATAGCTAATTCATTGAAATGGAAAAAATTATTAATCCATTTATTGTATCTTTTAAATTCTAAATTTCTAAACCCTTTAGGAATCTTGCATTATCGACATACTGTATTTCTCCATCCATTGAACATATGTATAAGGACAGATTGCTTCACAGTGTGTCAAGCTCTGAGAAATTCATAACAAAATCCATGGTGGTATAATTGTTAAAATTTATGGTTCAATGGTTTTAAGGGTTAATCTTTATGGTATTGATGTATGAATTGCACTCAAAGGTGTGATCATTCTTTACAGTTATGCCCTGCCCCTCGCTGAGGGTTAGGCTGTTGCACAAGAAACCTTACTTTTTTGGTGTTCCTTAACTTCTAGATTTGGTCTGCGGGCGCTGAAAGCAGAGCTGAAAGATCTTTGCTTCGCTGTTCTTCAGGTAAAGGAGTGTGTTTCGAGGTCATGGAAGTTGCAATAGCATATATCATAACATCATAAATAATATTAGTTGTACTTGATGATTTTACGCTACATATGTCGTTTACTCTATTCGTCATGTAGTTTGAGCTTTATTAACTCTATTTGATTGGGACACATATTTCATTTAGGCACCTTTTATCCATTGAGTTTGGTAATGTTACTTTTAAGTGGTATTATAGTTAAGTTTAGGGTGTATTTTGTCTACTCAACTAATTGCCAATAGGATTTAGGTTGGATGTTTAATACGATATTAGAGCCTTTCGTGGTATCATACTCATAATCCCTAAATGCTAGAGCAATTGTTCTCTTTCTCTCTCTGTCTTTTTTTTTTTTCTTAAATGGTGTAGCTAAACTAATTTATCTGAAAGTGGGACACACATTGTGCATGAGTTTTTAAATTGGGACATCAATCATGGAATTTTCACCCGATTTGTTAAATGAGAAATATATTTCCCTTTTTCCAAATGTAGCCAAAAAAAATTAATACTTAAAATCTGGTTCCTAACACTTACAGTTTAAGGTCAGTTAGAGTATGGGTTCTATGTTCATAATCGGGCTTTGCTATATGAAACTGTGGTTACAAAGTTCTTGATAGCTATGCATCAGATACCTTTTATCACCTTTTAGATTCATGCGGGAACAACAATATTTTGCATTGACTTTTAGGTCCATGCTATCTGCACACTTTGGATGAATTTGCCATTAAGCATATAAATATTGCATATAGCATGTTTAAGATGGTCAAAGATATAGAATGAGAAAAAAAGGGGCAAGCTTTGATTATGTTTGAACCGTATGCCATAGTGTTATGGTAATCAATGTCATGACTTAAAATTCTTTTCTGACAGATAGAATAGCTTCTTTTTCTTTTGCTCAGCAGGTATTATAGCTTCTAACTAAAAATGTGAATCCTTTTGGATTATGTATATCAAATAAATTTTGTAACCACATTTGTTTCAATTTTGAGGGCACTGGTGCAGCCTCAAATATTTAGGAAGCTACGAGCTTATCTGACCTCAATGTGGAACCCCAGAAATAAAGGAGGATATCCCAGACGAATATCTGCAAAAGCCAGGGGGTCCTCTGTACAGGAAAACAATTCAGTGCATGAAGATGAAGCTTCTATGAGTGATGAAGATATTACTATCATAAAGGTAAGTATATAGGACAAATGGTGCTGTGTCTATATTCTAGTTATATTCTTTTTGGTTGGTTTAAGGCTTGCTTTGATGTATTAGGATTTTGCCAATTTTAATGACTACTTGCTAATATCGGAAAGTTTTAATGCATAATGTTGAGAAATCCTGTCTTCCTGCCGGAAAATTAACAAAGGATGAAAATTTCAGGAAGACAGGTCGCTTCAGCCTTCCTTTAATAGACTAAATACAAGTTTTCTTCCTAGTGGACCTTGGATAGTGTTAATAAAAAAATCACCTGATATGCTGTCATTGGGCACCTTCAACACATGATCTTGGAAGATGTCTCAACTTACATTGTAATTATATAGGAGTGCATATTGACCACTGAACAACATAGCTTGCTTCAATTCTTTAGTAAAAGACATTTGGTCGATGAATGTAGTGCAAGAGCTTATTCTGTTGTCATGAATTTCTATCCAAACTAGGCATGTCAAATACCATGTGATGGTTGCAATCTGTAGTTACTGTTATTTTCTGTCAGATTGCTCTGGTTGTGCTTTACTGCATATTTTGAAGTGGTTCATGCTCTTCCTTGACTATTTTTGAAACCGTTTGTTTCTTCAAATAAAATTCGAGGAGCAAATTGGCTTTCATGCTTTAGCCTTCTTGAAAATAATAGGACAATAATGAAAGAAATTCCAAGTTAAAAAGGTCATAACTGAGTAGGATCCACCCCCTACTCTCATTATATTATATTATGAAATTAGATTAGTTTTGAGGAATTTTCCTTTTCAAAAGAGTACTAAACAGTCTTTATTAGTTTATAGTATATTATATTATGAAATAAGATTAGTTTTGAGGAATTTTCCTTTTCAAAAGAGTACCAGACAGTCTTAATTTTCTATCAGTTAGATGCACTGATTAGCTCTAAATATAATTCCAGCGTTTTTAATCCATGTAATAATAATTGTGGCAACATAAGTGCACATATCTGGAAGTTTGTATGCTGAAGAACAAAAGGGTTAGAGGTTTTTGGGTCCGTAGGTAGACAAACAAGTTTTAAATGTAGCATTCAACAGAAACCTTAAATTTGAGTAATTAGTTCCAGTTGTTTTATATATGCAGGATCTTTTGGATGCAGTGGTTCATTTTGACATCTTATTAGATCGGAGAAAACATACCAATTTTCTTGATAATCTTGGAAGAAGTTCGGAGATGGAACCAAAACTGAAGGTTGTGCAGGATGCTGGAATTGTGCTGGTATCTCTTGTTTGCAAGGAGGCACTTGAGAGGGAGCCATTCATATCAATTTCGTATGTTTTGCTCACTTATAATCAGTTCCTGCTGCTTATTTCTATTAAAACTATTTTGGTTTTATTTATTAGTTTTAACTCCTGTACTTGTAAGAGCAACTATTGTTAGTTTGGTCACATCTTGTAGGTGCTTTCTCATCCTCTCCTCTTTTGCAGTGCAGTTATGTTCCAGGGATGGAGGTTACTTTATCTAGCTGATTAAAATGTTTGTACTCTGTATGGTATCTACAGCAAGGTATGAGTAACAATTAATGTATGTGTATCAACTTTTGGATGCTTTGCTTCTTAGCTGTAAAATATTATAATTGTGCTTGTTGTTAGAGCCAAATGCAGTCAAAGCCCCTTCCTTTGCCATTGTTCAAAATTCTTCTTGTTCTCCATGCATAATTAACAGTACTGTGAAGGTATACGACAGTGATTATTTTGTAACTGCAGCTCGCAGCTGTAGTAGAGTTAATTTCACCACATGTTTCAAAGAGACATCTAAGAATCAACCATGAACTCGAATTCTAATGTACGGCTGAAAATTTATCAACATGCGAGATCCATATAAGAGATTTTCTGTACTGAAAATCCTTTTGTTGCATTGTATCCTTGAAGCATTTAACTTAGACTTTTAGAAGACGCAATATCAGTCATGCCGAAATTAAAATGTGATTCTAAAATCTTTTAGTAAAAAATGAGCAAGCAAGCTGACCTTTATTTTGTTGGGAAAGCCTTTACAATGTCCTGCTGATAATGAAGTTCTTGTTCTTGTCTTGCTGTAGATGAAAAGGAAAGATGTTGGCATCAATAAAATATATGATGCATGTGCACTGAGGGTAGTTTTTGGAGACAAGAGCGGAACCCTAAATGGTCCTGCAGTTTAATGTTGCTACAGTCTTCTCAACATTGTATGCAGGTATTTCAAAGTGTTTCTTCTATTCATTTCATAGATCTTCTCAATCTTTAGCATGGATTTTTGGAATTACTTTTAGTTGATGCATCGTATTTTATAGAAAAGTATGTGTAGTAGAAGAAACGAAAATAGATGTTTTTACTTTCATTATAGGTTTATTTTTGTGGATAATTTCTTTGGCCTGTGGTAGCCTTATTTAATAGGAATGTATAAGTTCTCAATTTTACCAGAATTCATAAAGCCATATTTCTCAAACATGCTGAATTTCCTTTTTAAAAGAAACTTTTATGAGTCACATCACCCATCTTTCTTTGCAGGCTTTGGACTCGAATTGACGGTGAATTTGATGATTTCATTGTTAACCCAAAGTCCAGTGGCTATCAGGTAATATTTTGCAATTATTCATTGATTTATTGCAGAAATGGTATATCAACATTCGTCCTGCAAATATAGGCCAAACATGCATATAACATGCTGCATCATATATGGCCAGCTAATATGTAATAAGTTTCTACCTTTGAATATTCCACTCTCGACAGTAGGTGGAAAATTATTTGTGAGAACTAATATCTTATTGACTAAATCTCTTAAAGTGAGTTTAAGAACATTTGAAAGTTTGTGATCTGGATGGTTTGTTAATATCAATTTTGCACCAGAAATCCAATGTAAAAGTTTAAAATAGATCATTAACTGTATTAAGCTGCATTAACTGTTTAAAATACCTATGTGGTTCTTTGAATTTTTAGCGTCCTCCATACTTCTTTGGCAAAGTACCGCATCAAATTTCCCGACTTAGTGAGACTTTGCTCTAAATAATGGATCTTTTATCGTACATGTTATGAAATTGGCTGAATAGGTTTCTACCATGAGAGTTCAAATAAACCGGCAGGTAATGCTGGAAGAAGCTGTTCACTTACCGGAGTTTTAAATATCAAACTTTGCTGTTATTAATTAATTTCAAAAAGTTCTAAATGTAATAATTAATTTAAAAAACTAATAAATGTAATTGTTATGTTAATCATAATTATATTAATCCTAATAAGAAAAGGAATATCTTTAGCTTACAATTAATAAAGCTCAGACAGATGTGAGTTGATTCCCATCTTTCAAAGGCCTTCTGAATCTACGGATTTGGAGGCTGGGACAAAAACTAAAGTATATATGTTAGAACTCCTTATATTACGGTAGATTTACAAGTAATTAATTGTTATAACTCAGTAAATTACCGTCGGTAATTTAAGGTAAGCATCACAAGTAGACGCTAAAGTAATACTATGAATAGGAGGCTAACCTTGTTAGCTCATAAGTCAGTTTATGACAGATAAGGAAAGGGGAATTCTCTTTCAACTAGAGGAGCTGGCTAGAAACAAAGGTGTTATACTTATTTCTACAGTAATTACAAATTTAAATCCAAAAAGAATTCTAATTAGCTGTCAAAATTCCAATAATAACCTCACATACTTACATAATCTTTATATATATATATATATATATTAATAATACTTACTGCTACTGCTTTATTATTATATTGATGAGTGGAATTAATTAAGAGAGCAAAGGAGACATCGACGCTATTCTATTTTTAAGAAGAAAAGCTATTTATTATATATCTTTTTATTTATTAGGTATGATCACTATCAACCTTTTTTTTTTTTTGTGATTGATTTACAATGTTGGGAAGTGGAATTAATGTTATTCTTCTTTCATCTCAATTGATAAAAGAAGAAAACAAAACTTATATCTTGTTTTTATGTTTCTTTAGAAGCTTATGCTTGGTATAGTTTTGGGTTTGGGATTATGTTTAGGGTTTAGAGTTTATGATTTTTAGGGTTAAGGTTTTAGGGCTTTTTAGTTAATTTCTCAATTTTTGTAAATGTCACAGTAACTATGGAAAACAAAGATTTGATATCATTCGAAGAGCATCAAGTGGACAAACCTTGCCAATTGGGTTATATGAACATGGAAGCAATAGTTGAGGTTGATAATGAACGACCGCCGTATTCTCTTCCTCCCCACATATCTCAACCTTACCCTTGGCTTGTTATATCTCATGGAGAGTTTGATCAAAGGCAAACCTTCTTCAGCATATCACAATATCAGTATTACACTAAAATTATTCCTGAGATGCGTAATAAACAGGTATGTTGCTCTTCTTTTGGATGGTTAGTGTTATTGGATCTTGTCTCATTTGATTGTTCTCTTTTAAATCTCATTTCGATGGAGACAATTCAACTTCCTCCTTTTAATATGAAATTCGATACGTGCATTCTCACGGCACTTCCAAGTGATCCAAATTGTCGCATCCTTTTCTTCAATCTCATAGAGGATGAATTTTTATTTTGTTCTCTTGATGATTGTGAATTTTCAAAACAAAAGTTGGAAGACGATGATGTGATTAGTGTGACAACATTTGGAGGAAAGACTTATTGCATTTCTTCAGAATATTGTTTGCTTACAATTGAGTTTGAAGGATCAAGTCTTCGATTTACAAAATTAACTGTCCAAAAAACAGAATCCAAACTGTTTAATTTTACCATTCAACGCAAAAACTATTTGGTTGAGTTTTTTGGAGAGATGCTACTTGTTTGCAAGATTTACTCTCCAAGATTGTGCGAATGGGCTTCATATTTTGAAGTTTTTAGGTTTGATTTCTATAAAAGGGAATGGATTGAAGTGAAAAGCATTGGAAATAATGCAATTTTCCTCACAGATCAATGTTACGGCTCATGTTCCTCAGTAGTTGAAGAATCCGATATAAGAAGAAACTCCATTTACTATACTCAATATGAAGATAGAAACCTTTATGTCTATGATTTGGAAGATCGAAGTGTTACAACATCTTTGCCTTGTCCCATAGTCAGTCGTCGAAAATCATCTCATTATTGGAGTACGTTACCAATGACAAATAACTCTTAAGATTTAATTTTTCTTTTTAGAAAAAAATTTGTTATGTAGTTGTTTTGTTATTTAGTTTAATAAAATTATGGTTGGTTGATTTTTAATTAACTTTTCTTTATCCTTGTATTCCAATAAATTAATGCATTTACTTAATTTTAATCTATTCTTTTTTTTTTTTCTGGTATTTGAGATTATAAATTGTTGAACTATGATCATTAAAATTAAAAATATAATATTCTATTAAAAGATTACACTATTGTAGGCACTTTCGATTTATTGATTTATGAATAAAATGTAAAAAAAAAAAAATGGTTCAGTTTTGACCTATTTTCTTCGTAGTAGTTAATAGCATGTATAAATGTTTTATGTTGAGTTTATCTTGATGTTGATGTAAAGTTTTTTGGAATTCTTTCTTAGCATATCATTCAAGAGATTCTTAAGGGTATATATGTTTCTTATTGAATCATGGTAAGGTTTTCTTTGATTCACTTAAAAAAAAATTAATTTGTTGGTCCTTTATTGTTGCCTTGCAGATGGGTGAAAGCAATGTAATTTGGTTTGACTATTAGTTGGGTCCATTGATATCAAATTTGTTAATATATTTACAGACATCTCATTATCACATGGTTCCATCCTGCTTGGACCAACTTGAAAGTCGTTAACTGATTTAGATTTCATGGTCTGAACCCTCTAACAACCAAGCTGAGAACAAGACCTTGAAAGATTTTAAATTACTCCATGGTCATCCACAGAAGTTTAAACATCTAATATTTCTCTTTTTGGCATGCTAGTCTTTGCATAAGCATTTAAGTTTACCTTTTTCGGATGAGACTCCTTCCTGGAATGTCTGCTTTTTTCTGGTTTTGAGGTTGTATTAACTTTTCTTTTCAACTTTCTTTTCAGTAATGGATCATCTTTTAAAGTAACATCAAACTGTGAGCAGCAAATGGGATTTGTTCTATTCAACTCAGTGTTGCATTTCTCTACAGCATTCTTCTGAACCCTTTGCCAAACAAAATGACTGTTCTCTGTTCCCATTCAAATATGCAAGTTCCCTATACTTCCAAGTTTGCAAGTACTTTAACTCCTATGAATAGATTTACACTGCTTACCCCTCTTGCCTTGTGCAACCATTCGCCCATCAAAGCTGCGCTACAAGCCAGACCATGCTTGGTTCCCTCAGTAAAATCACGGGTTTCTGAAATGCTACATAATGTGTTTTGACAATAGGACCCCTTCTTGGTATTGGAACCTAGTAAATCTGATTGACAGGTTTCATTGCTGTTGTCGTTAAATGGATTAACAATATGACCAGCACTGATGCGTCTTCACTGTTTGAACCAACAGAAACTGAGTCCAACACTAGGAAATCATGCATATCATAGAAATCCTTCTCATGTAAATCTATAAGAAAACCCATATGTGAAGGATGTCTCCTCTCCACCCCTAGAAAGTCGCTGGTCTTCGCTACCAATTTTAGAATTATCTGTATGATGCTCCCTAGGAAACTTCTGAACTTGAGAAGGTACAATACATTCAGGTATATCCACTTCATCAATGTCAGATGTGTATATATTTGGTGATTGAAAACTTGTAACAATACCATTGCTGCTGTCTGCAAAATCAGTTATATTAAGCAAACCATCGGATGGTGAAACTTCTAGTGAAGTTGCAAGTGATCCAGAGTTCATGTCATTGTTACCACAAATTTTGGATGCTGAACTTCCATGGATATACTCTAGCAAACTCTCTGGAGCCAACATCACACAAATGAATTTTTATGTTTTCCCTTCCTTCTTGTCTTCTTTCATGAATTTCTCTTTGTAGGCTTGTCTTCTTCACCATAATCGATGAACATAGCGGATGGATTAGTAGCATTAGATCCTTTTGACATAATAGCAGAGGAATCGTTGCGAGTAATGGAGCTATAACGGGAAGAATTGTTGGACACTTCATTCAATTTAGTTATTTTATTTGCAACGGTCCTGTTGCGAAATTGATGTTGCACATTGGATCCAGCAATGCTTCTGGCTCTAAAAGGATTGGCAGAAAAAGTAATCTAAGGTTGAGGCCCTTTCTGTGTCTTCCGTCCATCAACCTTAAAAGGAATTAATGGACGGGGAAGAGGCCAGATGCAGGCCTTTCACATTCGCCTGAGTTCCAGATCCAAAGTGATCAAAATATTGCCAGGTTAAAATTACTCAAGCCAATCACATAGTAAAAGAGAATGAACTCAACTATTTAATATTGGCAAAGAATAGGAAAAGTATCTAACCTCTGATGATCTTCTACAATCATTCAGCTGCAAAGAATTCTTGGAGTGGTTAGCCTTTCCTACCCCCGACATTTTTTATTATTTAGATAAGTTCATCAAACATGACAAGGCATCTTTTGCTGTATCTGTCCAAGTCAATAGCATAAACATGTGAGTGGGTAACTTTACGAAGAGCTCATGAAGATTTACTCGATTCAAAAACCACATTTGAAATCAAAACTTTTCCACTGTAATTACAGCAAGAACAACTGTTTATAAAATCTAATAGGTAAAAAAAAATGACAGCCAACAAATTTCAGTAAATGAAAATCCTTAAGAAATGCCCAGATGCAGCAACTAATCTATTCCAATCCAAAATAGATAGAAAAATACATAGAACTTAAGAATAGAGTACAAGAGAATTGCATGAACGAACTAATTTTAACAAAGAGGGCAGTTGAAAAAGATGTTTTAGAGTCATTCCAAGAACTAACTACTGCTATCAAATAAACAAGTAACTTCACAAAGTTTAAGCCATTATTAATTATCAACTTCTTTAAACGGAAAAGAAATAGAGGATAATCGGTTCACTGGGTTGAGATTATATTTCTCAAGAAAAATTTTAAACCATTTCAATATCTATCCCAAATAGTGAAACTAATTTCCTTTCAAACCACTTCGCACTTGAAGTTCTCAGAGCATAGATTCTGGGCTCCATTGAATCATTACTTGATGGTGTGTGTCCATTCAATGCCCATGGTAAACATTATCCACTTAACAAGTAAACTAATAAAATACTAGATTGGAACAGGAAAAAAATTGCAATGTTAACCAAGGGCAGTAGCTCAGCTGAATCGACACAAATAAGTATAATTGAAGGAACAAAGGGCCACATAAATCAGACAGCATGAAACAAACATCACATTCACACTTGTAGGAAAGCTAAAACAAAGAACCAATATCTTTAGTTGACTATGGCAAATCAAATAATCAGGGAAAAGAAAATCCACTATGAAAACAATTAATTTTGAACAAAGATCTCAACACAATTAAAATCAATCACATCACTTGGCTTTGTGCAAGAGAAGAATCTGGAAATAGAACAGCCATTACCTGGAAGGTGCCTTTCTCTACAGAATCATATACCACGTCAATCCCACTGCAGCATGAACAAGAACTGTGAGTCCAGTTTCAACCTGTATTGCATGATATTGTATTACAACTTTTGTTAATATAATCAAAACTCCGCCTCCAAACTAAAAGATCAAGGAATGAGGATCAATCTCATAATTATGACACAACTTGTATCCACAGGACTGATAAAAAGAAAAACAAACAAACAAAAACAGAGGAGACTCTTTGATTATTGTAACCAATCAAAGTTCTCTTATATTGCAGATCTGACTCTGCCAAACTCTGTTTTTGATGATTTGATTGTTTTGATTGATCTGCGCCATTGCAAACATATCCAAGCGGCCTGACGAAGATTTGGAAACTAAAAGGATAACCATAGGATCACTAAGAGGATGGATGACAATGAGTTATTGTCATATAATTTTAAATAACATCATTCATATTTTGTTTAATGTTGTATTCCTTAAAAATTTAGTACTACATTTATTTTACTCTTTCTTATTTCATTATTAGCTGCTATACCAACATTCTTCAAAACGTTACACAAAATTTTTATCTGACTGGTATTATAATATTTGCAAGCCAAATTAAAATATATGAGACATTAATCAAAATCCCTTTGGAAAATATATTCCAATCAAAAACATTTATTAAGAATATTAAAGAAAGGACTTTGGGTTACTTTTCCTTACGAAAATTTAAATCCAAAAAAAATTCTAATTAGCTGTCAAAATTTCAACAATAACCTCACGTACTTACATAACCTAATTTATATATATATATATATATATTAATAATACCCAGTGCTACTGTTTTCTTTTTATCTTGATGAGTGAAATTAATAAAGAGAGCACAGGAGACATTGAAGCTATTTTGTTTTTAAGAAGAAAAGCTATTTATTATACATCTTCTTATTTATTAGGTATGATCACAATCAACCCTAATTTTTTTTTTTTGTGCTTGATTTACAATTTTGAGAAGTGGAATTAATGTTTTCCTTCTTTCATCTCAATTGATAAAAGAAGAAAATAAAACTTATATCTCGTTTTTATGTTTCTTTAAAAGTTTATGCTTGATATAGTTTTGGGTTTAGGTTTAGGATTTAGGGGTTTTTTGTTAATTTCTCAGTTTTTGCTTTCCTTGTAACAAAAAAAACAAAATCGAGATACTAATTATGCAAATTTAATTGAGATAGCCTTCATTACCTTGACTAAGTAGAAATTTAGCTAACTATTGATACAAGAGAGATATGAAGGGAATAGAATTCTGAGATAATGGAACAGGACTTTCTGATTTGGAGAAATTCAATAAGTAAACTTGTTTCTGTTTGCCACATTCATTACCTTTTTGTTTGTTCAAGAGAGAAAGAGAAGGAGAGTTGAAATCAACAGCTGCCACAGAGAGGTGGCCTCTGTTATTTCTATTTGATGTAATGAAGATCTGCTTCGGGAGGTTGTTCGCGTCTGCATGTGTTAACTCACTGTTGGCATGTAACATCTTTGATGTTCCTTTTGTCAAGAAACAGTCTTCAGTGGTTTGTTTCGTCAAAGGGCAACCTTCGGCTATCTATTCTCTTCGCCATTGTTCGCACCAAGTAGAAATTTAGCTAAATAGTTTCTTTCTTTATTTTAGATTCATCGCCTGGGTTTATATTATAATTTATTATAAACAAAGATGAAATCTAGTGATCTTCTTATGGTGCCCATCGAAGACATTTATTTTTCTTTTTCTTTGCTATTGGAATTAAAAAAAAAAAAAGTAAAAACATGTGGTGATAACATTAACTGGTAAAAACATTAATTAGTGAAGATAATATTGATACGTCCTGGAATGACTTGCTTTGATTGTTGATTCTCTATATAACACAGAGACTTTAGGTGCTTTTTTTGTACAGTGTCTATTAAATATTTGAAAATTTGTGAATTTTTTAACGTAAAAAAATATTAAATTTGAAATTTATAATAAAAAGAATTATGTTTCGTATCTCTTGCAAATTAAATATTTAATGAATTTTAGATTTTTCTTAAGATATTAATGAATTTATAATATAATCAAATTTTTTTATTAACTTTTTGTAAATGCCACAGCAACTATGAAAAACAAAGATTTGATATCATCCGAAAAGCATCAAGTGAATGAAAATCAGAATGTGTGGAGTAATCTTCCACCAGAGCTTTTAAGTTTGGTATCATCAAACCTCTGCAGGGGACAAAGCGATTTTCTATGCAATTTGCAAAACATGGCGATCAATCCCCATTGCTCCACATCGCCCACTTCCATCTCCATTCGATCATGATGCAGATTTTTCATTTCCATAGTTGTTCCAAATCCTCAAAGGCAATATTGACAGAGGCCAATTTTTTCACCCCATACATAATTACACTTGCGAGTTAAACCTTCCAATAAAAATATTAGGTGCTGAAATCCGCTTTTCAAAGTATGGTTGGCTACTAATGACTAGAGATGAGGCGCATCCATTTCTCTTCAATCCTTTGACAAAAGAGATTATTAAACTTCCTAAGCTGCTTCCATGGGTGCATTCGATGTTCTTTACTTCACCTTCTCCATATTGTTTGGTTCTAGGAATCGAAGGACGGTTTGATTCAATCTCCATTTTTGTCCATAAACTAGGAGAAGGTAACTGGGAAATGCATAATTTTCTATGTCACGTAAAGTTTCGATTATCTGTTTACAATCCAATTTTATACAAAGAATTATATTATTGTTTGGACGCCAAAGGAAACTTGAGAGTATTTAATCTGAAAGAAATAAAAAATAGTTGAGATACCTACAAAATGACTTTTTCATCACGCCGTATCAATTCAATTGTTCAAGTATATCTAGTTGAAAATGAAGAAGAATTGCTAGCCATTCTCATTACAAAGGATGATAAGAAGATTCATGTTTTAAAGTTGAACCTGACAAGTAAGATATGGGAACCAACACGAAGTTTGGGAAGGAACATGTTGTTCATCAGTAAAGGTGCATCCTTCTCCAAAACTGCTGTCATGAGAGGAACAAGTAACAAAATTTATGGTCCAAACTTTTGGGATAAAAATGGCTCATTTTGCTTCTACTCACTCACAACTGGAAAGTATCATTCTTTCTTTGATAATCCCTCTAGTAAAGATTCCTACAATATTAAATTCCTTCAACAAAGCTCTTGGTTTATATCTATGTAAGATTGTTTCACCTCCATATCTAATAGTTGTTTCTAATCTTTCAAAAGTATAAATAAATTATCTTGTACATTATATTAATCTTAATCTTTATAATATATTATCCAACTTAATTATTTTTTGTTCATAAAAAAATTACAACTTGAAGATAAGGAGAAATAATTACATGCCCTGAAATTTAATTTGCATGTTGATTAATTATTAATTATTGTTATGTAAGTGGTAAACTAATAGCAAGGCCATGGTAATATGCTTCTTCATATATTGAGTTCTAAACAGAAACCATGACATGAAGAAGATGAATGAGATTTAGTATTAATATAGCCTAAAAACGGATGCATAATGAAATTTAGATTAACTAAATTCTATCTTGCATCACTCTCGATTAGAGTTATCAAAACAGATTTGAATTTGAAAAACTCGATCCAAATTCAACTCAATTCGATTTGTTAAAAAAAAAAAAGGTCTAACAATCCAAATCTAAAGAGAACTATGGCAAAGGAAGGGGCTTTGACTGCATGTGGCTCTAACAACACGCACAACTATAATATTTTACAGCTAAGAAGCAAAGCATCCAAAAGTTGATACACATACATTAATTGTTACTCCTATCTTCCTGCACCTACAAGATATGACCAAACTAACAATAGTTGCTCTCACATGCACAGGAATTAAAACTAATAAATAAAACCAAAATAGTTTTATTAGAAATAAGCAACAGAAACTCATTATAAGTGAGCAAAACATACGAAATTGATATGAACAGATCCCTCTCAAGTGCCTTCTTGCAAATAACAAGAGATGCCAGAGCAATTCCAGCATCCTGCACAACCTTCGGTTTTGGTTCCATCTCTGAACTTCTTCCAAGATTATTAAGAAACTATATTTTCTCCAATCCAATAAGATGTCAAAAGGAACCACTGCGTCCAAAAGATCCTGCATGTATAAAACAACAGGAACTAGTTACTTAAATTTAATGTTTCTGTTGAATACTACATTTAAAACTTGTTTGTCTGCCTACCGAGCCAAAACCATCAAACCCTTTTGTTCTTCAGCATATATACTTCCAGATGTGTGCACCTATGTTGCCACAATTATTAAAACATGGAGTAAAAAAGCTGGAATTATGTTTAGAGCTAATCAATGCATCTAACTGATAAGAAATTAAGACTGTCTGGTACTCTTCTGAATAGGAAAATTCCTCAAAACTAATCTAATTTCATAATATAATATAATATGATATAATATAATGAAGACTGTTTGGTACTCTTTTGAAAAGGAAAATTCTTCAAAACTAATCTAATTTCATAATATAATATAATGAGAGTAAGGGGTGGATCCTACTCAGTTATGACCTTTTTGATTTGGAATTTCTTTCATTATTGTCCTCTTATTTTCAAGAAGACAAAAGCATGAAAGCCAATTTGCTTCTTGAATTTTATTTGATGAAACAAAAGGTTTCAAAAATAGTCGAGGCAGAGCATGAACCTCTCCAAAATATACAGCAAAGCACAACCCAGAGCAATCTGACAGAAAATAACAGTAACTACAGATTGCAACCATCACATAGTATTCGACTAGCCTAGTTTGGATAGAAATTCATGACAACAGAATAAAGCTCTTGCACTAAATTCATCAACCAAATGTCTTTTACTAAAAAAATTGAAGCAAGCTATGCTGTTCAGTGGTCAAGATGCAGTCGTATATAATTACAATGTAAGTTGAGACATGTTCCAAGATCATGTGTTGAAGGTGCCCAATGACAGCATATTAGGTGTTTTTTATTAACACTATCCAAGGTTCACGAAGAAGAAAACTAGTATTTAGCCTATCAAAGGCTAAAGCGACCTGTCTACCTGAAATTTTTCATCCTTCTCCAATTTTCTGGCAGGAAGACAGGATTTCTTAACATTATGCATTAAAACTTTCTGATATAAGCATCTTGTCATTAAAATTGGCAAAATCCTGATACATCAAAGCAAGCCTTAAACCAACCAAAAAGAATATAACTAGAATATAGACACATCACCATTTCTGTCCTATATGCTTACCTTTATGCTAGTAATATCTTCATCACTCATAGAAGCTTCATGCATTGAATTGTTTTCCTGTATAGAGGACCCCCTGGCTTTTGCAGATATTCGTCTAGGATATGCTCCTTTATTTCCGGGGCTCCACATTGAAGCCAGATAAGTTTGCAGCTTCCTAAATATTTGAGGCTGCACCAGTATCCTCAAAATTGAAACAAATGTGGTTATAAAATTTGTTTGACATACATAATCCAAAAGGATTCACATGTTTAGTTAGAAGCTATAGTATCTGTCAGAAAAGAATTTTGAGTCATGACATTGATTACCATAACACTATGGCATACAGGTTCCAACATAATCAAAGCTTGTCAGTTTTTTCTCATTCTATATCTTTGACCATCATAAACATGCTATATGCAATATTTATAAGCTTAATGGCAAATTTTTCCAAAGTGTGCAGATAGCATGGACCTAAAAATCGATGCAAAATATTGCTGTTCCTGCATGAATCTAAAAGGCAATAAAAGGCTATCTGATGCATAGCTGTCAAGAACTTTGTAACCACAGTTTCATATAGCAATGCCCGATTATGAACATAGAACCCATAAAATCATACTCTAAGTGACCTAAAACTGCAAGTGTTAGGAACCAGAAGTAAATTTTTTTGGTACATTTGGAGAAACAGAAATATATTTCTCATTGAACAAATCAAGTGAAAATTCCACAATTGATGTCCCAATTAAAAAACTCATGCACAATTCGGTCCCACTTTCCAATAAATTAGTTTAGCTACACAATTAAAAAAAAAAAAAAAGAGAAGAAACAAAGAGAGAGAGAGAGAGAGAGAGAGAGAACAAGGGCTCTAGCATTTAGGGATTATGAGTATAATACCACTAAATGCTCAAATATCATATTAAGCATTCCACTTGGATCCTCTTGACAATTAGTTGGGAAGACACAATACACCCTAAATTTAACTATAATACCACTTAAAAATAACATTACCAAACTCAATGGATAAAAGGTGCATAAATGAAATATATGTCCCAATCAAATAGCATTAATAAAGCTCAAACTACATGATGAATAGAGTAAAGGACGTACACAACTAATATCATTAATGATGTTATGATATATGCTCTTGCAACTTCCATGAACTCGAAACACATTCCTTTACCTGAAGAACAGCAAAGCAAAGATCTTCCAGGTCTGTTTTCAGTGCCCACAGACCCAATCTAGAAGCATGAACTCCAAACACACTCCTTTACCTCAACAACAGTGAAGCAAAGATCTTCCAGCTCAGCTTTCAGTGCCCACAAACCCAATCTAGAAGCTAGGGAACACCAAAAAAGTAACATTTCTTGTGCAACAGCCTGAGACTTTGCTTGAGGCAGGGCATAACTGTAAAGAACGATCACACCTTTAAGTGCAATTCATACATCAATACCATAAAGATTAACCTTCAAACCATTGAACCATAAATTTTTAAGAATTATAGCACCACAGATTTTGTTATAAATTTCTCAGAGCTTGAAACACTGGAGCAATCTGTCCTTATACATATGTTCAAAGGATGGAGAAATATAGAGTGTCTATAATGCAAGATTCCTAAAGGGTTTAGAAATTTAGAATTCAGAAGATTCAATAAATGGAGTAATTATTTTTTCCATTTCAATGAATTAGTCATGTGATACATACAAGGAAGTCTAAGGGGGATAGTTAATCCAAACCTTGGACCTTGATCCTCTTATGGAGGAATCATAACAGCTAGGCCAAGCCTTGGTTGTCTATCCAATGAACTATGAAATAGAAAAACAAACAGAAATCAGTTTTCTGCATATATGATAATCTAATAAATAAATTTTGAGAGGCATTACAAGGTTCTCATATTGTGAATACGGTCTACCGGCTTTATAAGCACCACACATGGATCATCAACCATTCCCAAAAGCATGACTCGCAGATTATTTGCCTTAAAAGTAAAAGAAGAGAATATTAAATTAGAACACAACAACTTCTAATCAGTGTTCACATACTTACAATTAAACCTAATTAATTTATTTATCTATCCCCTATATTACAGTTTTCCACCCAGCTAGTTCTTTGAGAACATGTCATTCTCACCACCCATATGCATTGAGATAAATCTTGAAGATGACCACAAGAACAAGAAGAGTGCTTTGCACTATAGAACTTGACATGCCCTTAGGAAAGAATCAACACAAATGCTACCAAGACCCTTATATGATATCATAGTGACTTGTAACTACTATCACTTCAATCCCAGCAATATGCATTTCCTACAGTTCTGTTTTTCCTTTCCTTTACGTATTAAAATTACATCTTGACCAATCCATTTTAAGTGTAAAACAATACGGATTTAAAAGTTAACTGCATGTCAGACATTGCACTCAAAACCATTACAAATGACCTCCCAACCACAAGCACTAAAAAGAATTAATCATACATTGAATATATGATTTAATTATATCTTAAGGAACTATTCAATTGACATTTACCCTATGTAATGTGTACCCATATAAATCATGAAGTTTCACCTATTGTTTAGCTTACAAATTAGTTTCTAAATTACATCATCCACACCACATTTTTTTGTTGTAGTGCAAATTCTCTAACCATGTTCCTCTTCATAACCAAGGGTACTCTGGTTAACATTTATCCTGCAATGTCTCTGTGGAGGCTACAAGACAATATATTAGATGAGTCACATGACAACATACAATATAGTGGGAGGGATTAAATATCACTATCAGAGGATCCAAAACTCGAGCACGATCATTGAAATTTTAAAAAATATTGTAATGCACAGGCATTCTAACAAGCTAACAAGGGTAACACCAAAGATGGCAAACATGACACCAAGATAGCACGAAAACCAATAAGAAAGAAAGGGCAAGAATTTACAATTCCTACTTCTGACAGCAACATCATTATGGTTGCCCTATCATTGCCATCAATTGATGAGACAATATTTTTCCTACACACACCACAATAGACATCAGAAGTAAAACCCTTTCTGTTTTTTTTCTTTTTTTTGTAATAAGGGAAAAGAAATAAATAAGGATTAAATTCAAAACCTAAATCATAAGTTGTTTCTAGATATTTCTCTGAAGTTCGAAATTGAAATAAAAAAATCGATAGGAAAATAAACATGCCTAAGTGATATTTATGTTTTCTGGAGTTTTGAATATGATGAACAAGTTGAATTACACATCCTATGAATTTCTTGTGAATACCATCTCCAATTCCAGAAATGAAACAATTTTCCAAAAATTCATTCTTCAATGCAAGATGACTTATAACTGCAGAGTTGCTGGGCCTTTTCCAGCTCAATATAAGAATATTTCATTTAACAAAAGAAATTATATGCTATTTCCGTCAATATGAAACTTATTTTATTTACTTGTTTTGTTCTTTCTATGTTATTTTTTCTTTTACATTTTAAAACATGCGCAAATAACCAACTGTGGATTACACAACTGGAGTTAGCTTTCCCTAGACCAAGCATGTCACCAACGCAGGAAAAGGTGAAAGAAAAAAATCATCCTCCTTAAAGGGCTACAATACGAGTTAAATAAAATATCATTAAGCTTTCTGCTTACAAATATTTTTTTAATGAAAAACCAAGATTAAGGATGAGGACTCTACAGACAGAACCAATTAAAATGAAGACTTTACCTGATTTATATAACTTAATCTAGAAGCACCAGCTACCAACCTTACCATCTCATCACAAAACTCTGTTTCTATGCTGAGCAAACTTTCACATGTATCATCATCATGTCAATAGCCTACATCAAACTTTAAGACCTTAGTTAAAGAATTCACTGAAAGTGAAGCATGTTTTTGAGCAACACTGGCACTTTAGAGGGCTACCTTTTTTAGTAATAAGAAGATAGAATGCAATTGACTTAGCATAATATTACAAGAAAGTGAAAGAATGAACCAAGTTTCCAGACCATTAAGAATTGAGTTCAATTAACTATCTACCCATGTAAACATTGTTATCATAAGAACAAACCATTAACCATTAACATCAAAACATTAAAATGGCTACAGTTACTGTCTAAAACATCAAAATGTCTATTGCTTTTACTCTTAGATGTTTTCCTACCATATTATACGGCAATTATCCTTGTACCTGCATACTATCAGAATGGCTCACTAACTTCTATGAAAGATAGAAATAGTCATATTGTATAGGTCTACAAGTATAACCGAGACAGATTAAAAAAGTAAAACACTAGGCCAATATAGGAGCCCTACATGCAATTTGTGCACATGAGAAGCATCCACAGAAAAATAAATACTAGTAAGTGGTTAAAAGATTATCAGAAGAACAAAGTATATAGACACAGCACAATGCAACAAACTTAATAGTTATACAGTTTCATACGCTTAGGCCACTTGATGGAACCAACATAGCTAAGATTCTTCCTTCACAAATTCAGTGTTTTAGTGGCAGAATAGGACTACATGCAAGTTATGAGGCAACTAGAGATGGCAAACCTTTGCCTCGTTAAATATAGGATAGCCAGTCACACCTATCCTTCCACTGTAAAAGAACCTGCACACATTGATTGACGTTGTTAACTTGAAAATTGAGAGCAGAAAACACGAAGAAAATGATTCAGTAAGTATACAGTATATGGATTATTGATTAGACAAAGCAAGCAGTAGTTGTCATTATAAACTACAAAGAGCATAAATTATAGTCATGCGGTTGCTAATGAGCTAACATCAAGAATTAATAATTGATGCAATAGGGAGGAACACAAGGTTTCTAATGAAAACTATATCCTTTTCATTATGTGTAACAATTATTCCATAATTTTGGGATCAAAAGCAGAGTCTTTTAGGCTCATAATACATAATACATCTGCGTGAGAGAGGAAGCTTCCACTAAGAAAGACACTGTCTTTGGTTATTACAGGGCATGTAGCACAGGCTTCCATGGCATGGCATGCCATATGACCATCTAGAAAGCTCTTATTTTGTAATATATTTGTGCCATGTAAATGCTAATGTACTAAAGATAATGGATTTTAATGGTTTCCATCAAAATAAAGCTCATTTAAACAAAAATAACAATAGAAGGAAAGGGGCTTATTTAGGAAATTTGGAAAAGTAAAGTGCTTTTTTTTGGCATTTTAGCCTAAATGTTTTTGTAGTTGTATGCACTATTTTAAGAATTTGAAAACTGAAAAGCAGTGCCTGCAGAATAAAATGAACATCCAAAATAACTATACACCAATAAACAGGCTCGAAAACACGAATTAAATTTAAAACGAAAAAGATAACATAGTATGAGATTATGAGGAGGATCTTAAAAGCCAGTCATGAACAAAGCACACATCTAGTATTCCCCTAATCTAGCACTTTAAAAATAACTCCTAGCGGGTTGCCTAAAACTGAATGTAACAAAACACTATTATTTCTATTTAAATTGTAAAAGTACAAAATTAGGCGAAAATTCCAATTCCAAAACAGCATAGAAATCCCAACAAATAAAAACCCCCAAAAGAAAAAGTTGCAAAAAAAAAAAACACAAACAAGTAACAAAAGGCACCTTGTTGCTCCTCAACTTTAGGCCACAAAAAGTCAACCTTAGCGGACAGACAAGCTCTAGAGGCAAAAGCAAAGGCAGTAACAGCCACTTGGGTAATAGCAGAAAGTGACAGACCCATGGACAGTGGCACCAAAGCCAGAAGCGGCAGCAGCAACTATGGTGTTAAGGGAAGCAGAAACAGTGAATTTCTTGGGAATACACCTCAACTTAGAAGCATTTTTGGGATGGAATTTGTGGAGAAAAAGAGGGCAAGTTTGGCGGGCAAGAAACATTTTCTTGGAATGGATATGGGA